CAAATAACTCTAAAGTAATAGATACTATCAAGACTATATTTGAAAAAAAATTATGTCCTTAACTTTACCTACGAACTTAACTCTCTCTCTCTTTCTCTCTCTCTCTCTCTCTCTCTCTCTCTCTCTCTCTCTCTCTCAAATGGCGGAGATGGCTGTTAATCAAAGAAACTTTGACGTGGCTATTCGCACTGATTTGATTTTGATGGACAACATGGCCAGAAGGACCTCCCTCTCGGCTCAAAGGGATTAAGACAGGCGAGTTCTGGCAAAGCTGGTTGTATCGGGCTGTCGGATGCTTGGTCTGTCAAGGTCCGCCTTGGTTACGCCAGTTCCACTAACACTGCCCTCTTCCGACAATTTGGCCTTTGAGATCTTTGCCTATTCCGCCGTTGGTGTCTTCGAGATTTGGTCGCGTTCAGTCTGGCCTCTCTTCTTCGACCTTACCGCCATGTGTGGTACTACAGGCGTTGGAATTCCAGACGCCTCGCTCTTGAGTAAGCCCTCTCCCCTGACAAGGAACTACCATATATATTTTACACTGGATGAGTGAAAAATGTACCATTTTGACTTATTATTACTTATAGACAATAACAGAAACGAATCATTAAATAAGAAAATTATTAAACTAAGAAAAGTATAAAATTATCATTAAATATATGGGAACATTTTTTAATATTATTGTTGCTACAAATAAATATTCGAGAAACATATAAAGGAAGAAATTCCCTACTGTGTCCAAAAAAAAGTAAACAAAAATAAAGTTACGACTCGAAACGTTTTTTCTACATATCTGAAAATACGTCCTTAGTCATTAAAAAGTTCCGTTACTACAATCAATAAATAAGAATAGGATAACAGAATAAAATTATTGGTTAATGTTGTTAAAATGTTTGACTGATAGGAAAAGAAATCAACGATACAATAGTCAGTTATATACAAAACAAATACACTCGAAATACTTTTCCTACAATTTCGAAAATTACGCCCACATTCATAAAAAAAAGAAATGTTACGTAAAAGTATGAATACAGAATTATTCATACCAATGTATAAGGAATTTACATTCCTTCAAAATATCAATTATCAATCGGAAAATTCTACTACATCTTCGAAACTGTATCCTCATGCAATTATTGAAATCTTCAAAGAGATATCTCCTCACAAAAGAAAAGGTGAAAAAAGAACTGGAGGCATCCATGACATAACCTTGTCTTGTGCCATTAGTGATTAAGCAAAGAATCTGAAAATTCTCTATTGGACAAAAAAAAGGCAACTTTCAATTCTTTGTGAAAGTAAATGATGATGGTAAGCATTTTGTCAGACACACCAAACTTCTTTAGTATCTTCCAAGAATTGCTGCATCGAAGCGTCTTGGTAAGTTCAACAAACATCATTGACAATTCTTGGTTGCTTTCTCGGCCAGATGACGAAGAGAAAAGATCATATCTATAGTTCAACGACCAGATCGAAAACCGTCTTGCGATTCTGGATAGATGTTATCAAGAATATATTTAATTATGCGATTAAGGAAGAGTCTGGCCAAGATTTTATCGACTAAATAAAGGAGGGCAGCTATATAAAGGAGAGGTCTGTCGCAACTAATTCGTACTTCTTTGTTTTTCTAAAGATGCTTGATGGAGGAATCTTTTAATCTTGTTGGACACACGCACACATACAAAAACACAAATACACGCACGCGCACAGACACACACACACACACACACACACATATATATATATATATATATATATATATATATATATATATATATATGAGTGTATGTGTGTGTGCGTGTATAAATATATATATTATATACATATTACTGGGAGCCAACTATCTATATCAACTAAGAACAAACAAAATTGTGCTGGCTCTGTTTGAAAACAAAAAAGAAATTTCCATCCCTATAGATACATATATATAAAAAAATCTACATATTCAGATAAAAGAAAACATCCTTGCTAATGGCTAATAGATTTTGCTTAGATCCATAAAACATTTGGACAGTTTTGGCACACTCTATGTCCAGAAAATAAAATACTTGTACGAATAAAGAAAAATCTATATCTAAAATTCTGTCACATTCGTTAGTCCGTCCATCTATCCATCCGTTTGTCACCCCCTCTAAAATAGCTATATACATTGACCGATCGAAACTAAATTTTAGAGAGCAATGTAAACAGGTAATGGGTAAAATGTACAGTTGGTTTTACTAATGTGCGTAGCTTAGTACAATAAATGTTCATAATTTTAAAAAGTAACGAGTACAAATTAACAAAAATGATTTTTTTTCAAATTAAGGGAAGTAAATCAGAGAGAAGTAACTCAACAACAAAAAAAGATAATTTTTAGGAGTTTTACTTTCACTTTGCTTTAAAATGGCATTAGGTGACAAGGAAATCATTTCTAAACAAAATGAAGCTGTCAATAATATGTAAAAATGATCTACATACATATCAAACATTTTGTTGTGGCCTTGTTAGGAGCCAGAAATAAAGACTCAACGAGAGGAATTGAGTTAAACAAATATACTGACAGAAATACAAACATATACAGAAAAGAGTGTTATAGCAAGAATGTTTGGTTCGACTATCAGTGCTCACTGCTGGAAATGTCACTCTCCAAAAGGCAGTACCCGTTCCTATTTAAAGGTGGCAGGGTCCATATGTGCGTGGGTAAATTACCATAATACTTTTTTAGATAAATATTTTCTGAATAAGGAAAAAAAAGTATTTGTTATCACTTTGACATAAATCGTATATTCTAAAGACGATGTTGAAAATCAGGAGTGACGCGAAGAGGCGTTTCAACATCGTGATCCTGAAATATGCACGTCTCTTGAAGTAAAATTCCGTTAGTCCGTCCGCCTATCTATCACACCCTCTAAAATATACATACATTGACCGATCGAAACTAAATTTTACGGAGAAGTGAATAATAGGTAAGGGAGTACATTTGTATGTTGCATGCTCAAGAGTAAGAAATCTTAAGAATTTATCCTTCGCTCTCAAAAAGAACAAAGAGAAAAAAAGAAATTTTCTTAAAAAATGTTGTTTACCATGAACAATTAAATTAAATTAAAGGAATTATTAAACCGTTAAGTAGGAATTTTGTCAAAGTATTCACCCAAACATATCAGCTGAGTCAAATTTAATTGATTGGTTTAAGAAATTGAATGAAATGTAGTGCTTTTAAATCTCGAGAAAAATGTCGATATCTTCAAAAATACTAAATATTTTTTAGTATTTCAACACGCGTCACCGTGTTGCAAAAAATTTAGTTTAATAAAACGTTTAAATCACAGTATTTTGTCAATCGTCTTCAATGAAACTTCGAAAAAGTCTGCTGAGTGAGGTTTTGTAAGGACGGGGGAAGGGAGATTGATTTGTTGTTTACGGCTTATCAACCCATTGTGGGATATTTAAACCGGAAACATACTTTGGATTGTAATAATAATTATTTTTGTTTTTCTTCACTTTTTTTAACGCATGAAAATTTAATTAACAATTTTTATGAGAATAACAACGATTTTTCAAGAAAAAAAATACTACAATTTAACCTATAAGCTGGGGGAGGAGGTGGATACATACCTCTCCCTATGATATTTTCACGTAAATAAATGTAAGACATTTTTTATGTTTATACGTTCTTTTTATAGGTACAAATATTTAAGTAAGTGCTCTGTTTATAATAAACTGTATTAACGACATTTACCGGCCAGAATGTCCGAGAAACTTTCATAGAAAATATACGTCCTCCGACAGGAATCGAACCTGTACCCTATACGGAACCGTCATATAGCCTAACGTGCTTTACCGGTTTAGTCACAGAGGATCTTTTCGGTTAGCAAGGTCGATTTTACTGTTTTTAAACTACAATTCTCCATGATTTTTTCTCGTACATCCATATCTGCTCGATGCGTATCCAAATGTAAACAAATGACGTCAGTCATTATGAAATGGACAAAGTCCGACAATTATTTTAAGACATTTTTTATGTTTATAGATACAAATATTTAAGTAAATGCTCTGTTTATAATAAACAATATTAACGACATTTACCGGCCTGAATGTCTGAGAAATGTTCATAGAAAATATGCATCCTCCGACAAGAATCGAACCTGTATCCTATACGGAACCGTCATATAGCCTGACGTGCTTTACCGATTTAGCCAAAAGGAGCGTTTCGGTTAGCAAAACAGTAACATCGACCTTGCTAACCGAAACGCTCCTCTGTGGCTAAATCGGTAAAAACACGTCAGGCTATATATATAGATAGATATGAACCTGCTGAGATAGATAGATAGATAGATAGATAGATAGATAGATAGATAGAACCATGCTGATATTAGTTGACGTATAAAATCTTCAAATTTGTACAAACATTTTAATTTAATTTATATTTGTTAATTATCTTCTTATTCTCTTCAGCTTTTTATGCATAATCAAAATTCATCTTCATTTTTTTCTCAGTTAATTATAAAACATTAACAGGATTATATTTTTAAAACACTTCTGTGCAAACAATATGGAACACACGATAAATATGTGTTTCTAAGTGTAGTGATATTTTTTCTTAAAAACATTCGAAATTGTTTTATATATTAGGTGTACACATATATAACCTAGATGTCGCTGTGTGTAATATCCCTGTGTTTGTGATTATGTGTTTGTTTTTTTGTTTGTTTTTTCCTTTCTTTCCATACGTTTCAAGAGAGAATATATGATTTTTTCAAAACATTCCAAATTGTATTATGTATCTGGATGATGCATTTATATATCAAGATAGCTCTGTACGTCAAGGTCCTGTATTTGTCCAAGTGTACGAAAAAGACAGCATATGTATGTGCGGGTGAGAGGCAGTGTGTGTGTATGTGTACTTATATGCATTGAAGTGGTGGGGTTCGCGTGCATGAGATTGTCTGGGAACCACAGCAGGTGTGTGTCCCAGATTAGTAGATGATTCCTTTGGATAAAGGTGAGACGAAGAAAATTGCTTTTCAAGAGACACTGTGAGATAGCAGAACTATGATTGGCCAGTGAACGGGGAAAAGAGAAAGAAGAAAAAAATCAAAACTCACTGAAGAGAGAGGAAGGAGACCGGAAGTAAGAAACACAGAAGAAAATCTTAACGAATTTTCCAAAGAATGTCACATTGTAAAAATAGAAACGTAAAAATTAAAGAAATAATAATAAAAAAAAACGATGGTAAAGAACTTTATAGAGACATTAAATACGAAAAATTCAGATAATAGCAGAAAGAAAGAAAGAAAGAAAGAAAGAAAGAAAGAAAGAAAAGTAGAAGTTTACGGAGGCTAAGAAAGAAAGAAACAAACAGTGTAACAAAGAATGAAGCTAAGAAAGAAAAAAATCAAAGAAAGAAAGATTGGAAACAGAACAAACTAACAAAGTAGAATTTTTGAAAGAAAGAAACAATGAAACAAAGAAACAATGAAACAAATAAAGGAAGATACAAAAACTAACAAATTAGGTTTTGAAGGCTAAGAAAGAAAGCAAGACAGAAAAAAAGGAAGATACAAACAAACAAACAAACATTGAAACAAAGAAATATAGGAAGATACATAAACTAAGAAATTAGAATGTTTTGGAGGCTAAGAAAAAAACAAAGAAAGAAAGAAATTAAAGTTGAATTTTACGGAGGCTAAGAAAGAAAGAAAGAAAGAAAGAAATTAAAGGGTTTTGGAGGCTAGAAAGAAAGAAAGAAAGAAAGAAAGAAATTATAGGGTTTTGGAGGCTAGAAAGAAAGAAAGAAAGAAAGAAAGAAAGAAAGAAAGAAAGAAAGAAATTAAAGGAAGAAATTTTTGGAGGCTAGAAAGAAAGAGAAAGAAAGAAAGAAAGAAAAGAAATTAAAGGGTTTTGGAGGCTAGAAAAGAAAGAAAGAAAAAGAAAGAAAGAAAGAAAGAAAGAAAGAAATTAAAGGATTATGGAGGCTAGAAAGAAAGAAAGAATGAAAGAAAGAAAGAAATTAACGGGTTTTGGAGACTAGAAAGAAAGAAAGAAAGAAAGAAAGAAAGAAAGAAAGAAAGAAAGAAATTAAAGGATTTTGGAGGCTAGAAAGAAAGAAAGAAAGAAAGAAAGAAAGAAATTAAAGGATTTTGGAGGCTAGAAAGAAAGAAAGAAAGAAAGAAAGAAAGAAAGAAAGAAAGAAAGAAATTAAATGGTTTTGGAGGCTAGAAAGAAAGAAAGAAAGAAAGAAAGAAAGAAAGAAAGAAAGAAAGAAAAAAAGAAAAAAAGAAAGAAAGAAAGAAAGAAATTAAAGGATTTTGGAGGCTAGAAAGAAAGAAAGAATGAAAGAAAGAAAGAAATTAAAGGGTTTTGGAGGCTAGAAAGAAAGAAAGAAAGAAAGAAAGAAAGAAAGAAAGAAAGAAAGAAAGAAAGTAAAGGGTTTTGGAGGCTAGAAAGAAAGAAAGAAAGAAGTTTACGGAGGCTAAGAAATAAAAAAAACAAACAAACGAAAGAAAGAAATGTATATGATTTCAAATTAGAAAAATCATTTAAAGAAAGATAAAAGTGAATTGAATAATTTCAAGAAATAAATTTGAATGATATAATGAAAGAAAGAGCATTTAGTAATGTAAGAAAGAAAGATATTTATAAAATAAAGAAAAAGAGAACATCAAGTCTTTTAAGAGAAGAAAAAGAAGAAGGATAAATGATTAATAAAAAAGATAATGAAGAGAAGGAAATTAAAAAAATGCATGAGTTGAGATTGGAAGCAAAGGAAAGAACAGATACCTGAAATTTAAAGGAAAAGACAACGTATGGAGGAGAAGGAACGAAAAAATGTAGGAAGAAGTTTACGTTATAAAAATGGCCATTAAGGAGTAAAGCGATAAATCGAATGAAATTTGGAAGAAAGAAAGAAAGAAAGAAAGAAAGAAAGAACAAACTTACTAAACGGAGAAATGAAGAAGTTTTATACTTTGATGGCGGAAACATGAGAAAACGTTGTAACAATTAGCATCCAAAGAAGAAGAAAGAAACAAGAAAGTGAAAAAGAAGAAGAAAAGAACGGGAGTTGTTGAAAGAAAGAAAAAAGAAATAATTGATAAACGTGTGAAAAGAAAGGAAGAAACAAATAAACAAAGAGAAATTGATATACGAATATCACAAGAAAGAAAAATGAAAATATAGACTTGTAACACAGCCGGCCCGGATCGATCCTGGATCCTTCCCACGCGGTTCAGTACTGCCGCTGGTCAACTGATGGTTATCTGCTGGCTGCTTCGTTCCTTCATCTGCTCTGTCTCACGTTGTGTTCCATGATCACAGAGAAAAAAAACTAATTCTGTTCGTACTTGAACGCTGAAACGAGCTGCAACGGAACGGTGCTACAAAAAGAAAGCAAAGAATTTCCGTTGGTGTAAATACAACTGTCATAAGAAAATAACAAAGTCGTTAGATTAATTTTCAATTGCTTTACATAGTTGTTGATACAACAAAATTTACCCCAACTTTAGTTCTTTCTTCTAAAACTTGGAACGGGTTAAAAATACCGTCGATAGTAGGTCACATAGGGTTCAGCAGCTCCCTCGTCCGATGCTGACTCTTCTCGGTTTTCACTCCAACTGTTGGCTTCAACTAACTTACTATGTTTATATGTATTTCGCCTGACTCCTACCGTATCTCACGTCTCATCAGTATTCATATCAATTAATTATTTTCTCCAGCGTTCAAGAAATGACACCGGCCCTCAAACAAAGCGGACAATTATTAAAAACAATACATTTTCTAACAACAATAATTCCGATAACAAACTGTTGTGTTCAAAAATTATTTCTATTTTTCTGATGTAAGGGTATTTTCACATTCCTCATTCTCCAGTACATATTTTAAACTGCTTACGTCATTGGCTTCGCGATTTATAATAATTCAGTTCATTTTAGGCCGACAATTAATATTCATATCAATTAATTATTTTCTCCTGTTGTAGAGAAAAGAGAGCAATTCAAAGTAATACATTCTATAGAACAATAATTTACCGATAACAAACATTTGCATTTAAAAATTATTTCTATTTTTCTGATGTCAAAGAATTTTCTTTGTTGTTGAGTTTCCTTTGTTGTCGATTTAACAATACGACCCAAATTTTTTCTTTCCATTTTACAAAACGACACTCCAGATTGCTTACATTACTAACTTTGAGGATTTGTAATAATTCTATTTGTATGTCAGTTCACCAAAAATTTGTCTTTTTTCCCTTGCTCCATTTTTAATTCCTGTTTTCACCTTAACGATTTTAACGTTTTAACCCTCCCAATTTTCCAATTCCCATACGGAGTTTTCTTACTACCAGAGTCGCAATAGTGTTACTACAGATGAATTGATTTGAGAAACGAAACAAAGAAAGAAGGTTGATATGCGATAAGAAAGAAAGAAAAAAAGAAATATTTTGATATAAGAGTAGACTAAAAAGAAAGAACGAAATAAAACGATTATATGAATGAAAGAATGTAAAATAGAGAGGAACTGTTATATGAATAAAAAGAAAGAGAGAAATAAAGAGAGACAGAAAGTAAGAATGAATAAATGAAAAAAGAAGAAAAGAAAGAATGAAAATATAGATGAAATGATTTGAGAAAACAAACAAACAAACGAAGTGGAGTTGATATACAAATAGAAAGAAAGAAAATTTGAGATACGAGTAGAGTAGAAAGAATAGAGAAAAGAGAACAAAACAAAAAAAACACATTTGTGAGCACAAAAGAGACCTCATAAAAAACAACTTATCTAATGCACTAGTCATACATAGAAATAAATTCAACCATAATTTTGATTTTAAAAATGCTACACTCATGAAAAAAAAAGAAAATAACTCACTCAGAAGGAAAATCCTCGAGAGTGCCGCCATTGAATATTACCCAAATATTAATCTATGCCCAGGCTTTTTCTCTATTTCACCTTTCTTAACAGAATTACTACTCTCCCAAACAAACGTGCACAACAGAATCAAGAAATCAAAAGAAAATGGTTGAATCAACACAGCAACAATATCTCCACACGTGACAGTAATTGACATAATTTTCAGTTAACAGTATGAAAATAGCGTTCTCCAAATTCTTCCAGTTGCTAAGGACATTTTGTTTTATTATTAGTTACTGTGTTTAATAAATTCGTTTCGTTTTTGCCTTGAAAATGTCCACATAGGACGAAACGCGTCGGCAAATATTACAGTTTTCTTATTGTCATTTACAATTAAAAATAAAGACCGTATTAAGAAAGAAAGAAAGAAAGAAAGAAAGAAAAATACAGACGAGCTGATATAAGAAAAGTAAGAAAAATGCAGACGAGCTTATATAAAAACTAAAGGTAAAGAAGGAAAGATAAAGGAAAAAGAAAGGAAAACAGAAAGAAAGAAAAAAGAAAGAAAGAACTGAAACTAAAAAATGAAAGTGACAAAGAAAGAAAATAATAGTAAAAAAAATCGTCCAGTGCAAAATGTTGATTTGCAACTTCTTACGAACATGTATTATTAAAATTATCTTTCGGCCTCCCTACTTTCGGGGAAGAAAAGATAATCGTTTAAACTGCTTTCTCCTGAAAACGATGGACAATCTCCATAAGAAATAATCAATCACAGATTTTAGGAGAAAAGCAAAATGTCCTAAGAGCCTAGTCTGTACGGACTTCTACACGCAAATAATCCCCAGTATTCACAATCCCCACTATTTATCAACTTCTTTTATCATACGATAAAAAAAAAAATCTGCATTATCCAAATTTCTTCCCGATATACAAGTACGAACAATAGCAACAGAAACTATCTATGGTAGCCCATCGATATCTGATAACGATGAACATATACATCAACACCCCGGAAAAAATAAATATCTGCTAATAATATAGAAATATAGAAAGAGCTACCGTATATACTTGAATATAATGCAATTTTTTCTTGTAAGATTTTTCTTTATGCAAAAAATAGGGGGTCGCATTATACATAGGTAATTTTCTTTTCTGCCGTTGTTAACGGTGGAGTAATGGATAGCATTTCGTATTGATGAATCGGATGAGCCGAGTTCAAATCCCAGTCGAATCCATTATATTCAGTTATGTGCTAATACCCTTGAGAAAGGTATGACTCCTCTTCTTCTCCCCCCCCCCAGCTATGGGTAAATAGCAGGACAGATTCTATAGATTTGGTTGGCAACTGGTCTACCGCAGAAAAAAATAGCAACCTACTGCGGGAGAAAATTCTGCCTCGTCAGTCATGTATCACCTAAGTGTGTTTCACACATGACACATAACTAACTGACTGACTCATAAAATGAACGTAACTCATAAAAGGAGGCAAGTTGGAGTAATGGATTGAGCGAGTTCGAATTCCAGTCAGATCCATTACATTCATTTACATGCAAATACCCTTGGGAAAGGCATGAATCCTCCTTTTCTCCCCGCCCCCAAATATGGGTAAATAGCAGGGCAGACCGGGCTCTATAGCCTTGGATAGCAACTCGTCTACCTCAGAAAGAAATGGCAACCTGCTCGTCAGTCATGTATCGAAAGATACGTGATCGCCTAAGAATGTATCACGAATGGCACATAACTGACTTGAAGCCGGCTTAAACGTGAGTACATGAGAGCCTGAAGAGATCCGGCTATTTGCCGTACGTCGCAATAATCCTTTAACAAAAACCACCATCTATAAATAAAAACAATTATAATTTAAGAGCCCGCATCTTTAAATGTATATAAAAATAAAGACACCTGGCCTACGTCAAAAAACACTTTGCGTACGCCACGACATTCACCAGTCCTAGAGAACTCATCTTTTATCTCTACTTACCCTGAAGATGACTCGAAATCGAAAGGTCTGACAATGTGTCTTGTACTTTTCTTCCGAAATGAACTTCAAACAATTTCTGACAGAATTTTCTCCTTGTCTGAATGTATTATTCGTAATTTGTAAAAGTCGATCTGTAAAATTAAGAGGCACAAAATGTATGTTGTCTTTAATAGTATTTGACTTAAAGTAAATTTGCTGCCTAAATACACAGAACATAATGTATATTTGGGAAGTAACCTTTCTTTTAAACATCAGAAACATTAAATATGGCAGACAAGGAAAATTAAGTTAAATTTTATTCAGTTATTCCAGAGTTTTTAAGTTTTTTCCGTTTGGTGGAAGTAATTTTCCATAATGTCCATTGTCCCAAGCGCTTTCGACCATTTTCAAGGGGGCTTTATTTTAGGTGTTGTTAGTTTCTCTTCGTGTTTTGACTATTTAAGATGTAGTTTATTTTTCTGTTGTTTTGAATACTAGCAGGAGCCTTTATTCCGAGCCTTCGCGTGTTGGACGCGGTTGGAATTCAAGTCAGCGTCTTTCTATTTTTTTAAAAAAACTTTTAACACTCCATTCCTACTGTTAAATAAGGTGAGATTGATGGTAGGTGAGAGTTGTTTAATATATAGGGCCTTTCTTATAGCGAGATATTTCCAGTAATCTGATTTATATATAATGTTAGTGTTTTCTACCAGAATTTGTGTTTTCGACCAGAATTTATATATATATATATATATATATATATATATATATAAGATTTAATATTTAAGAAACACCACATATGTTTCATATATAGTGCTTAATATTAAAAATAATATTAAAAATAGGACGTTAATGATATTATAAGAAAAGATTACTAAAGTTTTCAATATCAATTTTTATCCCGATATCAATGTTTGTTGGTAAAATTTCTTGAGGAAATTTCCAGTCTTCAGGCGCTGTAGTTTAAAAATACCGTTTAAAACTACAACCCCTGAAGACTGGAAATTTCACCAAGAAATGTTACCAAGAAACATCGATGTCGGGATAAAAAAATTGATATTTAAAAGTTAAGTAATCTTTTCATGTAATATCATTAACGTTCTGTTTTTAATATTATATATGTATGTGTGTGTGTGTGTGTGTGTGTATGCGTGTATATGTATGTCTGTCTGTCTGTATATATATATATATATATATATATATATATATATAGGGTGTCCATAAAAGTTCGTGTGCACTTTGAAGTTATAAACTTTAAAAGTGCACAATGAACTTTTATGGACACCCTATATATATATATATATATATATATATATATATATATATATATATATATATATAGATAGATAGATAGATAGATAGATAGATAGATAGGCAAAGTATAGTTTTTCCTCTTATTTTGTCTCTTCTACAGATACTCTCCATCTGAGGATATTTACATACACACACACACACACACACACACACATATATGTGTGTGCGTGTGTGAGTGAGTGTGTGTATTTATGTGTGCTTAAAATTTCATCTACTACATCCACTCTTTAAGAGACTTGATTATAAAATATTGCCATCATGTTTTCTGATGTTTTTAATTGAAATACTTTTCAGTGCTCTTTCGTTTCTGTTAGGTGATTGGTGGATTTTTTTCCACTGATACATTGACATCATTTCCTGCCACTTTTGTTCGGTTAATGGCCCGGCTTTGCAAATGATGAGCGACGTCGAGTTTGCTACTCGTTGGGCGTGAAACACAGAGAGAACGAGGTGTTTCATGGTCGCTTTTGCACTTTCTAGTGAGTCGTAAAACTTGTATATTTCTTCTTGGGGACTTGGCGTGTGTATTCAACACTTATCAACATATTGAATATGTTCCTTTCATGTTCAGGAAAAAAACTCATATTTTCCAGGACATCAAAATTCTTTTTTTTTTCTATCTCTCTGTCAAGTATTACTCCGTTACTTCTTTCATTATGCTCTACTCTTGTCCGGTCATCGTCTTCTTTTATGCGTCGTATCTCTTCAGGGTATAGACGATCATGGCCCTCCACATCTTCCTGCCCATTGTAGCTATTAATAAGTTTTATCTTTTTGTTATTTATCCCAAACCCTGTTCTATCATCCATTTATACAACCTCATCAAGTATGTTTCCCGCTACATTCCATCGTCCCTCTTTCTCTCAATCTATCCTGTGAGTATCAGATTTTCCAAGCGCTCCTTCCTCATTACATGCTCTAGAAATTTCAACTGCCTCTTCCTGATGTTAAGCTTCCTTTTTGTTCCCATTTTCACCAAAAACTCGTCGTTGTTCATATGTTCATTTCATGGTATCCTCAGCATCTTTCTGTAGAACCATATTTCTGTTGTTTCAAGCCTCATCTTTGATGAGATTGTCCGGCATCAGCTGCCATACAGGAGGACAAATATCACGTAACAGTTCAATACTCTTTTCTTTGTTTCTAATGAAATTTTTCTGTCTCTTAATACTCTGCTTAGCTTTTGGAATGCATATTTGACCATCCCAAGACGTCTTCGGATCTCAGTGTCGCACTTTCCCAGATATTTAAATTTCTGTACTTGTTTTGTTTTAGGATTCCCGATTTGTAATTTGAATTCTGGACCCATCTTTAGCAACTTCAAATGTTAGGTGAAGCATTCTGTCTTTTTGTAGTTTATATCATAATTAAACGGCTACATCCCGGTTGGTGTCGAGAGTATAAAACTGACCTATGTCTAACATTTTTACTCTAGTGTAAACCAAATCTCTGTCTGCCTTTTTTATTTATTGATCGATTGATTATTTTATTTTTATTTATTGATTAATTAATTTATTTTTATTTATTTATTAGTTTATTGCATATTATGTCAACCAACAAAATATTTTTAGATTAGCGTATAATATATATATATATATATATATATATATATA